CCCTCTTCTATTACCAGTAGTAAAGCCTTCTCTGATATAGAGGAGGCTAAGCTAAGTCAAGCTGTTTAGGCAGTTTTAGTATCTGGTACTTATCCTAATTCTGCTAGATTTATTCTTTCTAAATCAGCTACTATAAAGCAATTTGGTGTTTCAAGATTTTCCATCAATAGAAGACTTAAAGGCATTTCTAATTGTTTTAATTCTCATTTGTCTCTTCAACTTTTATCTTCATCCTAAGAAACTATTTTAAAAGATTGGACCAAATCTCTTTCTTCTAGAGCTATTCCTTTAACTCATAAACTTTTTAAAGAAAAAGTTGGAATGATTATTAAAAAGTAAGTTAATTTATTATTCTTTAATAATTATAATAAGTGTAATGAATTCTGGAAGCAGAGGAGGAGGAAAACGAGAGGTAGAGGAGAGTAAGAAGCAGACATTAGAACATAGGCAAGAGACTCTAAGTCATCACAACAAGCCTGTTCCTGTATAAAGGACCATATATTCTATTAATTAATAGAGTGTATATGACTAATAGACTGTACTTACCTTTATTTCTGCCCAGACCAAAGTAAATTGGTCTGGATAGGATTGAAGTCGAGTCTGTGTACTGAGTGAATGCACGCGCGAATTTCTCTAAGTTTAGTTTCCCACGAGTGTGCGTTTCCTGGTGAATCACGTCGAACGCTCAGTTTTGAGTCCTTCACGCGTAAATTCAATAAAATATTTATTTTTTAATTTTACAAAAAATTAAAACATATGTTTTGTAGCTAATATGAAGACCTTTCTAATAGTATTTTTTTTGTGAAATAATAATGAGTTTTGGTAATTATAGACTGCAAATACCCTTAAAGTGAGCGTTTCTGGGTGAAATACAGTATGTGCAATTCAATCGGTTGTCATCGGACTTGCTATTTATCACAAGCGTCAATTAACAGTCCCGGTATCTTGGGGGCAGGGATAGGCGAATGCCTTGTCGGTTTATCTTCAGTACACAACAATTGATGACCTGCGGGGTTGCTTACATCTTGAAATTGGGTTGGTCATTTCTGTGTTCCGACGGGGAATTATGAGAAGCTCGCTGTTCATGGACTTCATTTCCATCATCTCCGAGCGGTCAGATGCTGAGTGACTTTGTGCTTCGATTCGATTTTAGTGGCGACGCCCCGGCGAAACACATTGATCGCTTTGCTCATGTGCTCCTTCCTCCGCCCGCCTCATTAACGATCCTGGGATTTCTTTGATATGTAGCTGTTATCACTATGTAGTTGCATATGCATATGTTGTCGTGACATGCACAGAAATTGTGAAAATAAAAGCGCGAAGGATATTTGTCCCATTGTATTACCGTATTTGTACTCGGCTGTGATGGCCTTCCATACACGGCTATTGTCGTCCGCCGACGCTGTTGTCGACAACGAGCTCGCGAACGCGCATCACCAGATTCCAGCCGACTTACGACTCAGCGGCTGCTGCCAGCGCGGACACAGAGACTTGCATCAGCACCGAAGGGCAGGATGAATATGAACAGGGGAATGCTGTGTGTGACTTTGCTTTATCTCGATTATTATTGTCGGCTGCTAAGCCACTTTCTCCGACCAGCGACAGCAACGCCAGCGGAAATCCCTTTCCGCCAGGCTTCCCGTCCCAGGCTAACCAGGACGCTGCGTTTTTTAACGGCCTCGATGCCTCCTCGTCGAAGCAGCTCGCCGCCATCGCCGCCGCTGCGAATGCTCGTCGCGCCCACGCCCAGGCAACAGCGGGCGGGCCAACCTCGGCTAACTACATCGGAGGAATAGCCCCATCTCAGCTCCCAGTCCGTGCAGATCAACTTCAGTCCTTCTCACCCACCGCCAGCGTCCATCAGCCGTCCTTTCCCCCCACGGGTCTCGCCCCCTCCATTCCACCCAACATGCAGCCCAACATGGCGCCACAGCCCAACCTCCTCGCACAACGCCAGCAGATATCGCCACAACAGGCTGCAGCCATCTCCAAGAATCGTAAAATGAGTTTTCTTCAGGGACTTAGCAGAATAATGGCCTCCCGGAACGCCCCTCTTCCGAGCAGTATATCGGGTGTCGAGGCAGCGTATGACCCCAACACATCACCATGGAGGGACTTTGAACCTGCGTCAGAACTAGGCGGAGTCAAGCTCGCGGGTAAAGATATTGATCTATATAAGCTATGGTGTTTAGTTTTTTCGGCCGGAGGAGCCGGCAGGGTGCAGCAACAGGGTGCTTGGACCAACATAGCCCAACAGTTTGATTTACCGCAACAGCTCCCGCATCCGCAGGAGGACGGGAATACGTTAACAGCTGTAGCTCTTGCCAAGCTTTATATCAAAGTCCTCGGAGCCTTCGAGGAATTCTACTATAGAGGCATGTCCGACACGCAGCGGCAGGCCATGGCTCAGCAGGGAAGACTTCCAATTCCTGCTTCCTCCCTTCACGGACATAACATCTCTCCTCCCGGCTCGGCGGGCAACTTGGCCCAGAACCAGCCTTCTGCGGGTGCGGATGCAACCGCACATCCTCCTTCCTTTGGCGTCACTTCTTCAGAGAATGAACTTGATGCAGAAGCAAGGAAACGGAAGGTAGAAGAAAGCGCGGGAAGCAATGACGATAACAACGGCAAACGAAGAAAAACAGGTGTGTTTGTGGTGTTGTTTTTAATCCGCGCATTCAGAGAAGACGCTAATTTTAATCAATCAGATTCCGGATCTCCTGAATTATCGGTAATTGCTTACATCCTGTCACCGGAGGATAAATACTAATGACTTGCTTCTTCTTCAGACCAACACTTCTGAAACCGCACCACATCCTCGAATGTCTGCCCCACCTACCTCAAACACGCGAGTAAAGGCGAGGCGGAAAATAGAATATTTACCTCTTTCCCGGGAGATTGAAACGGCAGGTGGACGAGACGTCTCCGCGATTCAAAATGAGTTACAACGTCTGACACGCGGACAACACCTGCGTGATATCCACGATTGGGGAAAGGTTCATGTTGAGGCCTTGCTCATGTCCATCCGCTCACGTCTCTCAGTTGAGCTTTCCTATGGTCTCACGACACTTGTTATCCTTTCAACAATGCGGAGTCAGGGCCATGACACTGGATTTTTAATAACTCAATGCGGAGATCTGCTGGACGAGGTCCTGGATTTACTTCAAGACCTGTCTTTTCCGAATGGAACGGACGTTGATACTCGTTCGGGCAATGACGAAGTTATCACGAATCGTCGTTTAGTCGGGTTGGCTCACGAGGAGGTCTCAACCCCATTTGCCGCGGAGAAGAAACAAAGCGACTATGATCCCAGTATACAAGGGCCTATGCAACGGCGCGCAGACCTCATTCGCTTAATCTTGAATATCCTGCGGAACCTAAGCGCGGTTACCGATAACCAAGCATTTATGGCACACCATCCACTCCTTGTCGACCTCCTTCTACGACTTACGTCAATGCAAATATCAGAAGGGCACCCCCCAGCTGCGGCTTCTGATGCATTATTGTTGCCCGACCTTATTGTAGTCAGAAAAGATGTTCTCAACATCTTGGTAAATCTTGGTAGAGTCATTGCCCTAGCACCCGCATCATCACATACAGACACGTCACCGTCGAGTGCGGCACCAGAACGGAGAGCTCGACTTATCTTTGAACTCGTCTCCTCATATCTGATCGATCCAAGTGAAGCTGTTGGTCCGTTCACATGGGTGGTACAATCTGGCGCTCCGATGACTCCATCGACTCGAGCGCCCCTCTTACCGGATGCCGCACTAGAAGTTTTCACTCAAATTAGCCACCCAGATGTGAATCGCAAGGTTATCTCTCGTGCGGTCCCACTGCGGCAACAATGGAGCTTATTTGAGGCGCTAGTCTACCGCTTACCGAGTTCAGATAACGATTACAAAGTCCTGATGACTCGTGAGGAGTCGTGGATTAGCTATCTCGAGAAACTCGTCCTGGGCTTGTATTCGCTCGCGTTCTTAATGCCGCCGGAGTTGAAGAAACGCGTGAAGGAGGATCGTGGGCTAAGCTTCCCGAAAGTCATGATGCGCTTCGTTAAGAAAATCATGACTGGCGGTCCGCAACAGATGGACTTCCGAATGCACTTTGCGACTTGTGCCCGTAGGTCGGTCGAGACAATGAAAGTGATTGATGACGGAGAGGACTCGTTCAACGTTGATCAGCCGAGTATAGCTCCGCTTTCATTTGGTGTAGGCTATGGTGAGGCTGCAGATAGCAAGGTGGAAAAGGGCGATGGACTATTAGGTGGTCATGAGGACGAGCTATTGTGGTCTGTCATGCTTCAGCGCGAGGTGGACGAGGTGATGTTCTCAGAGCTGGAGAGTCTTGCACGTGTCGAGAAGGAGATCCGTGTACATTAATACGTCGAATACCTGTCTTCTTGTTTTTTTATCGCTTTCGAAGGATCATTAGTAGTGTATGTTATGTATTGTGGCCCTCGGTTCCATGTCTTTTATAAAATACATTGTGTTGACCAGACCTGGTTAATCAAATTTCCCACATCATTATTATAAATATGTAAGTATAAATGGTCAACCATACATTGAACCTTATGGATAAACATGGGGATCATCGCGCCAAAATTCCATCCGATCATCACGAGAAATACCACAGTAGTATGTAAGCACCAACGAGACCGAGCAACACCTTTGCTTGAGGAGTCAAGTTGATGATACCACCAGCACCTTCAGTTGGGGAGGCAGGCGCAGGAGCTCCACCAAGCGTCTGTCCCTTCCCAGCGAACGGAGTCGTTACACCAGGAGAAGCAACGGCAAGCCGTTCGATGGCATTCTTCAATTTGTCCCTACTCGCACCAACTTCCTCATGTACCTTCTTATTACCCTGTAAGAAAATGAACGTAGGCCTAAGTAATTAAAATAAATTAGATTAATGAGTTTCAGAGTGCACAGGAAGGTACCCACATCGCTGTGACTCCATATTCTTGCGCGATTGGTTTCGCTTGCTCCACATCGCACTTGAGGAAGTTGGCATTCTTGTAATTCTCTGCCAATTCCTTATAGAAGGGAGCAATCATCTTGCATGGACCACACCTATCGATAATGTCTGTCAATTCTCAGCGTGGCGTTAGCTAGAAGCATCACTCTGACCATGTGGCGTGGAAGTCGATGATCTGGAGAAATAACCATTAGAAGCCTTTCGAACTTCTTACTTTGAGAGAAAGAACGTACGGTTAGTTTGTCATTCGGCTGTATGGCTAGAAAGTCATTAAGATCTTTAAGGCTTGTGATCTCGGTTACAGTGATAGCCATGGTTGCTGGGATGATGAGGGTTACTGACTGTGCTGCGGGCCAGCTCATCCGGCGCTCGAAATTAGGGACTGCAGTGGAAACCGTCACCAAAAACCGCAATCCGCAACCGCGGATAGGTTATCCGCGGTTGAAATTCTCACGGTAACCGCAGTAACCGCGGTTACACTGCCAACGTTCGACTCCATACACTTACTTTTTTGTTTTTGTATTTTCCTCTTTGTTTTCAACACAAAACACTATTTTTACAAGAAGCAAATATTTGTATTGAATACAAACTATGGACAGGGTATATACAGAAAATG